TCTTTTATTTTTGCAACTCTAAAATAATAGTAATGATGATGATGATGATGATCATAATAATAATAATAATAATAATAATAATAATTCAATATCATGGTTATTAATGCAATGGACTAACAAAGCAACTACCATGTTTTAACTTCACATGCCATACCGTACTTCATCTCTATAATTGAGAGGTATCAATTCTTTTTGTTATTTTAGGCAAAGGGGAAGTGGTTCACAAATAAATGATGAACCCAAAAAATAAAAATAAAAAAATGTTGTCCATGAACTTATGAGGCACTGGGTCCCACTTGCCTTTTTCCACCCTCTTTTTGCAGGTGCCAAATCCTTAATTCACTCACTGTCAAAAAAAAAAAAAAATCCTTAAGATTCATAATTATTTAAGGAAATGAATACTCGTGGTCTGGCGGGGTCATGATATGCGCGCGCTCACACTATGACACAATGTGCGGTCGAGATATGTTCGCGATCATATAATTAGGACACCGACGAATGGCATGGATATTTCGATTAACTAGGAGATTGGATGTGTATCTATATATATATATGACTACTATATACTACGTATTACCCAAAACCTAGGTTAATTATCTTTTGTGTAATAAGGTAATGATGGTAACGCCTTTTATGATTGGAAAATGATAAACTGAAAGTCCCAACACATTTGATTTTTAATTGCAGTGGAGTGAAAAAATTATTGGGCGATTGTGAATCATTTGATAAGTCAATTCAATTCAGTCTTTGCAGTAGTGAAAATAATTTTAACAAGAAGATATTAATATATTTTTAAAAAATTAACAAATATTTATATTGAATATCTAATAATTTGTCACAAAAAATCGTGAGTCATTACAATAACGTCATCCTTTATTTACGTTTAACTTACACGGCTCTTTTTAAAATTAATTTTAGCTTGACTTTAACTTTAAACTTACAATACTTGTATTTTAAATGACTCACAATACGTTTAACTTACACGGCTCTTTAAAATTAATTAACATTTAAAATTAATTTTAGCTTGGCTGTTTTTTGAATCATAACCACCTTAAAAAAATATCAAGTCCATACCATAACCGCCAACCAAAATTTACCAAACCCTAAATTAAAAATTAAAAAAAAATTAAAACAATAAGATGTTGACAATTCTGTCACTCCCCAATAGAAAAACAATTACTTGATTAAGAAAGAATATGAAATTATTAATTATGACCTGAAATATATGTAGCCGTAGGATATAATAATGTTACCAAAATGACCTCACTACCATGAACTCACCATGGTGACAACTGACAAGTTTTGATCCACACACTGTAAATTATTGACAGCACAAGAAACCAGAGCTGCTCGCGATTTGATCATCCTCCTCGTGTTTCATGCATGTGCTGTACTTTATACCATAAAACAACAATGAGGTAGCTGGCTAAATATCATCACGCTTCTTTCGAACTTTACAATTTTAACAGTATCCAAACCAAACAGCGTCTTGAATTTTTGATAATAAAAATTTTAGTATAAATTTTGAATTAAACTTCTTCCAATTTTAAATCTTAAACATCAATTCAATACTTCTAAATATAATATTAGCGAACTTCAACTACCTAATTACTCTAAAAATAATTGCTAGAGAAAGAAAACAACATAATTTAGTGAAACAATAAATATACTCTACTTTTTGTTTTGTTTTTTTAAATTAAATGTCGTAAATACCTTTTTTAATGTTAATAAACCACTCTAAAAACTTTAACTGTCAAAGAGAGTTTAACTTTAATATTTAAATAAACGTGTTTCAAATTTTAAGTATCGTAATGACAGTGAAATTTAAACTCGAAATCTTTTACCCGATACCATTTTGACATATATATATATATATATATTTATGATTTGAAAAAAGAATAAATATGTCATTCCATATTAAAAATAAAGTGCATTTGTAAGTGTCTTGCGTCATTACATTACTTACGCCGATGATATAATGAATATCTAATACAATTAAAAAGATGTGGTGATGGTTGGGTACGTGGATTTTTTAATATATGACCTTGACTTACGATTAAATATTGGAAATGCTTATTTGATTATGGCCACAAAAGAAAGGGAATGCAAATTAATTAAAGAAAATAAATAAAAAAATTGAAAAAGAAGAAAAAGGGTAAGAAGGAAAAGAATGAACAAAATTTAGAAGTTTATTAAAAAAAGATATTTTACGAGGCATTATATAATATTATAAAAATTATATAAGTTTACAGATGAAAAAATTAATGGGCCAACTTGATCCGGTGCCCTCAGGCCCACACTGACTCTGCTCCTCGCAATCCTATTTACATTGTTTATACAATAATAACAATTTTTTTTTGTACTTTGGTGTAAACACGACTCATAACCAAGACATAAAATTCCCTCTACATGGATGGGAATTCGCATTTATGACCTAACAAATGAGCCAACTTGATCCAGTGTCCTCGAACCAATACTGGCTCGGCCCCTCACAACCCTATTTACATTATCTATACAATAATAACAACTTTTTTCATCTAAACACAACTCAGAACCAAGACGCATAATCCCTTCTCCACGCCAAGGGATTGGAATTCGAATTTATTGTAAGACATTTTCTTATATTTGTGGCCCACATCATTTGGACACGTGATTTACTTTTATTATTTGGTAATTAAATAAAATAGATTTCAGATTAATATTATATTATTTGGACAACTTATAAATTACCTTTTTAGTAATTAATTGTTGGAGAAATGTTTTTTTATTTATTCCTTACCTTGATGGAAAGTAAAATTAAAGTTACTAAAAAGAAAAACTGGTCATCTCTCTATCTTTATAAAGTGCATATTCCCTTTCAATTATGTACGCTAATGAAAACAACACGTATAATATTTATGTGTGCAAGAAATGAGTTTTCACGCTTTGACTATTTGCCTTGATCTCTTCGAGTTTTATAATTACAGAACGAGGTATTTATATCAATTATTTATTTATACATTATAGATATGTGAAAATTATAAAATTTTAAGATTTGGGATTTATGTAAATTTGTAATTAATGATTTTCACGAATTAATTCAAGTTTACATTTATGACCTAAGAAATGAGGTCATTAGCATGAAGTAAGCATGCTTTTCTAAGGTGACGAATGTTGGTACTAGATTCGTATGTAGTCAGCAAGTAATGGTTCAAGGTAGTGATTAGGTGGAGGACGGCAGAAGCATATAACACGAGGTTAGATGGGGTTAGATATATGATTTGATAGTTTCCCGTTCACAGTCGTAATAATGTATCAATTCTAGTAAACTTATACCTAAAATGAATAAATAAAATGCAAGCTGAACAAGCTTTGTTTACATAGGCTAAATTTTTTCTTACTTTCTTTAATCATGGTGGTCAAGCTGAGTTTTATTAATTCAAATAAAAAAAAAAAAAAAATTCAACCAAGTATGGACACATCAACATGATAAATTTTTTTTAAAAATAATAATAACTCTGACCTTTTAGTTTAAAAGGTAAACAAATATCATTAGACTATAAAACTCTTGTATTTTTGGCATAGAGTTGAATAGATGCTGTTTTTGTTTTTTTTAGAATTTATATTATTTTTCTAACAACTCATAATATGTTCTAAAATATTAAATTTTAAAAAACAATTACAAAACTACGTTGCTTATTCTGGAACATTTTCCCACTCGTGTGACTCGTGTCCAATTAAAATAATAATAATAATTAAAATTCATAATATTTTTAGTTGTGTGAGAACATATTTCGGACTGTGTTCTGCATGTGTTGGTATCGTACTTGTATAAGACAATAAGATAATTGAAAGCAAAAACATTCATGAGCCCTAAATGTATGTGGGGGGCCCTAATTTTTATTTTAAGTAATATACCCTTATTATTTTTTTCAATTATATACATATAGAATATTACTATTACTTCCATCTCCCAGAATAATTAAAAAAATTCATTATTGCTCCTCTCACATGATTTTATGTATACCGTCCATTTCTGATCAAAACGGTGCCGTTTGGTGCCCCAGAAACCCTCCAACACTTCCTCTCAGAATTCACATAAATTATTGTGCTGGGCAACTCAAATCCCATCCTAAATTACAAAACTAGATGAACTTGATATATATATATATATATATATATATATATATTTGTGTTGGTTGTATGTGATTGATTATTTTGTGGGTTCACTTAATTGGTTGCAACACATGCCATATGGAACTTTTTAGCTTTTGATCCATTTATTATTCTGTCATCCATTTATCTTCAATTATTTTAACAAAAGTTGTTTTATTTGTTATTACAGCAATTCGAAATATCAACTTGAATTGGAAGCTTAAATTTAGTCCGAAATTTTAGTTCGATTTGCGAGCCTAAATTCAACCTGAGCTTAAAAAATTAAATATGGATTGGGTTTGGTTTGATTGTCGGATTGAATTAGGTTAGAGTTGAAGAATTCATATTTCGAGTTGAGCCTCGAAGTTGCTCCAGTTGCACCCTACCACTGAACAAACCATTTAAGCAACAAAAAAACATAAGCATAAAAAGTAGAATAAGAAACATGAGACTTGATGAAAGAGCTAGGAAGGCTCCAATCATATATATATATGTATTGAAAAATGAATTTTCAAGCTACTAAATTATAGAGATAGTAAAAAAAAATATGATAGCAAATAACTTGACTGAGGTAAAGAAGTGAAAACTAAATTTTTTCAATGGTGTCTTACAAAATATTTAAAAAATGGAAGATGATATAAAGCGGAGGAATCTTTAATTCGGTTTTACATTGTTTTCTTTATTACCAAAAAAACAAAACAAAACAAAACAAAAATAAAAAATGGTTGGTGTGAAACCAAAAATAAAAAAGGTACAGTTTTGCTGATGGAGCTTTCATGTGCAATAATTGGGAGTAAAATAATCACAACCACCGTGCATCACCACAATTGTAACTATAAATAGGTAACATCCCCACAGAAGACTATCAAGTATCAAACAGAGTAAAAGGGTGATAATATTTAGAGAAAGAGAGAGAAGAGAGGGGGAGAGAGAGAGAAAGAGATGGAAGTGATTGAAGTGCTCCACATGAATGGTGGGATTGGAGACGCAAGTTATGCAAACAACTCTTTGGTTCAGGTATACATGTCTATTCTATCAGTCCATATGAATACATATACATATATACACACACACACATATATATGTCAAAATTGGTTAAATTACACTCACGAATTGAGATTCTTGTAGTACAACACAGGCGTTGAACTGCTTTGAAAGATGAGAACCATTTCACACAGTAGTGTGTGAAATGAACCTCTACGATAGCAGAACACTTGTGCTGCACTACTGAGAAACCTCGGTCCCCTCTCACACGACTGCCCATCTTTTTCATGCATGCATTTCATCTCAAGAATGTATATACATACACTCAATCATCCCATGTCATATTATGAATGTAAGTAATATATATATATATATATATATATATTGATTTGGTGTTTTTTGGCTTTGACAGAAGAAGGTAATAGCAATGACAAAGCCTATAACAGAGAAAGCCATAATTGATCTCTACTGCAGCACATTACCAAAGAGACTTTGCATAGCAGACTTGGGTTGTTCCTCTGGACCAAACACTCTCTTTGTGGCCTCTGAACTCATCAAGACAGTTGACAAGATATGCAAAGAACTAGGCCACCAATCGCCGGAATTTGTCGTGAACTTGAATGACCTTCCCGGAAATGATTTCAACACCATTTTCAAGTCCTTCTTGCCAAGTTTCCAACAACAAATCAGAACAAAATTGGGGTCTTCTTTTGGCCCGTGTTTTGTCTCCGCGGTCCCCGGTTCGTTCTACGGGAGGCTCTTCCCTACAGAAAGTCTTCATTTTGTCCATTCTTCTTATAGTCTCCAATGGCTATCTCAGGTAAGTTTATGCATCTGTTTGGTTCAGTTTTCTAAAAACAAACATTATTTTAGTAGAGTTTTTGAAAACAGTCAATCAAACATACATACATATATATATATATATATATATATATATATATATATATATTTGTACGATTTTTTTATTTTCAGCTCATTAATTTATCAGGTTCCTGAAGGGATAGAGGGTAACAAAGGTAACATATACATGGCAAGTAGTAGCCCACCAGGAGTGCTCAAAGCCTACTATGAGCAGTTTCAGAGAGATTTTTCAGTGTTTCTCAAGTGTCGTTCGGAGGAAATGGTGAGAGGAGGACGTATGGCTTTAACAATTTTGGGGAGGAAAAGTGAAGATCCATCTAGCAAAGAGTGTTGCTACATTTGGGAACTTTTAGCAATGGCTCTCAGAGAAATGGTTTCTGAGGTAGTTTTTATTTATTTATTTATTATTATTATTATTATTTTTAACAACTTTAAACTCTCGAATAATAATTATAGTCTTAATTGTATTTGCTTGATTTTTAAAGTTAAAAGATTCCATGGTTTTTGTTCTCTTAAATGCAAGTGGGTATATGTGTGTTTCTAGTCAACTGAATTCGGTAAGGAGCATAGACATTTTAGGAAAGGTGAAGTGACGCATTTAACCCAAAAAAAAAAAAAAAAAAGGGTGAAGTGACGCAGAGTCAGTCCCAACCCCACAACACAACACAACACAACACTGAAAATGGTGGGTAAATCCAATAATGTTGGTCGGAGTTTGGCCCATGTGGTTCCATATGAATTGAAATTCCTTTACATGACAGAGAGTTGTGAGGGTGGGGTATTTTTGGATTTGCTGAGGGGCATAAGAGGAATAAAAAAGATAGATATTATTAGTTATGAAAAAATAAAAAATAAATAAGATAATGTTAATTTATGTTGAAATTTCATAATGAAAATATGATGGGGAGAGAAAAGAAATGAAAAAGTATTTTATTTTGTAAATAGTAAGGATAAAACAGGAATTTACATGATATGAACAAAATATATAGTAATTGTTTAGAATTTAGTGATATATATATATATAGCCAGAGTTTGACCTATACAAGATTCTCCAAGATTATGTTATTTAATTTAGTGTGTGAAAGTAGATTTTGATCCGGAGTTAACTTATTTTGTAAATAGTAAGGATAAAACAGGAATTTACATGACATGAACAAAATATATATTAATTGTTTAGAATTTAGTAATATATATATATAGCCAGCAGAGTTTGACCTCTACAAGAGTCTCCAAGATTATGTTATTTAATTTAAAGTGTGAAAGTAGAAATTGATTCAGAGTTCTTAAGTAAGCTAGTTATTTTAACAACCGACTTGGTAACCTACAAAACTAACAGATCCAAAAATAAATAAAATAATACAGTCTTTCGGCCCCAATTTTATGACCCTTTTGGCATTTGAATTTTTTATTAGGTAAATTAAAAAAAAAAAAAAAACCTTAAAAGCTAGTACTCATTTTTTACTTTTTAAAGAATATTAAATTTCATTTCCAGAAAAAAAAAAGAGAATATTAAATTTCATGATAGGAACTTATGTCATAAAATTTAATTTTTAATATTATTTTACATAATAACTAATCATGGATTCAAATGAGTGACTGAAGAGATAAAAACACTTGGAACTCTATCACATCTCCAATGGGGTGGGACCCTCTCGAGCTTTTAATTTATTGCATCAGAAATTATTACATTATGTGAGATTATTGGTCTGGCCACTCACATATTGATACATAAATAAAAGTCGGAGTTAAAATTGATATAAAACTGACACATTTGTTCATATGACCACACATAATTAGTCCGAACATATAATAATTTATAGTTTTGAAAACTTAACCGAATGGAGTTTGGTTAAGTTTTCAAATTGATCTAAAGAAAGTTTTGATTGCAGGGGCTGATAGAACAAGAGAAAATGGACTCCTTCAACATTCCTCAGTACACACCATCTCCATCAGAAGTAAAAATTGCAGTTGAAAAAGAAGGATCATTTGCGATCGACCGCCTGGAAGCCTCCGAAGTCGATTGGAACGCCTGTGAAAATGGATTGTCCTTGTCTAATGGCTTCAAGGATGGTGGATCATACAATGTTGCACAGTGCATGAGAGCTGTGGCTGAGCCCTTGCTCGTCAGCCACTTCAGTGAAGCCATGATGGATGAGGTTTTTCGCAGGTACAGAGAGATCATTGTAGACCGAATGTCCAAGGAGAAAACACAATTCATCAATGTGGTCATTGCCATGACTAAAACAGGATGATCATCAAGCTTGGCTAGCAAAATTGGACGACCTAGATTCACCTAATATAGACTATCTTTTATCCGGTAATGTTATATGTATAATGTGGCACTGTAATGTTTTGCAATGATTTGCTTTTTGTAATGTTTTGCAATGAGTTGCTTTTTGTGGGTAGCTTTGCAATTTGCTCGTGTTTTCATCCTCTAATAAGGAGGGTTCGAATCTCCGTAGGAACAAATGGGTGTACGAATCTTGTCCAAAAAAAAAAAAAAAAATGATTGTATTTTTATTATCTAATGCAAATTTAATATATATAAGTCCATCCTGCATCTATATTTTGAGATTCAACATTTTGGTTGTAATTTTGTGATATGTACGAACTTACGGATGTGGACATGGCTGGACCAAGGCAGTTAAGCTTTGAGGAGCTAGGCCCAAAATCTAAGGCCCAATAAAGCCATGGCAAAGGCGAAGATTTGTGAGTTATTACAATGGGGCAGTATTTAGCTATATGCGCCTGATCAGTTCATGGGCCTAAGGTCCCAAGCTTCCCTTTTACAACCATAATTGAGTTACATCATCAATAAAAAAGAGCAACCATAATTGAGTTACATCATCCTACACGCAAGAATCCAACCACATAACCTCGCTCATGAACACCAACCATGTATAAGGGTGTGAGCAAATTGACTATTTAAAAAGAACTCCATGTATATATATAGTTTGAGAATTATATAGTTTGTTATGTTTGAGAGTTTGGAATTTGGTGCAAATTCATGCTTTTTCTTGTATGTTTTTTTATCAATATAATTGACATGGTGCTGACTCAAGAGAATATATACCATAACCTTATTTATGGATGGCATTGGAACAATGAATAGGACAACTTTATTGTCAATTAATATCCAAAATCCTTACCTAGATTGTCATTGACATCAAATGTATATATCATATATTTTGTTCCTAATTTGTTAGTTTTGAAGAGAGTTCTTAGATTATTTAGATGGCAATCCTTATAAAGTCCAGGGCTGGTATATAAGTCAGTTTAATAGCTGGAGACAATAATAACCCTCCCATCAGTATAAACTGCACCAACCAAAGAATAATATAATTGAAATTGTTTAATTATTAAAAAGTAGCAAAAATCATATTATTATAACTTTTGTTACTTCGGTTTCCAAAAAAGGCCATGAAAAACACAATGTAAAACAGGGGAATCTCACATTATCAAAGACACCCGGAAAAGATTTTTCAAATGAAAGGGATTCTTAGACACGATACTTATTTATCTATTAGGCTTGTTTCAAATTCAACAAAAGAAATACTAATATAACGTACAAGAAGGAACTATCAAGTATGACCACGGAAACTAGAAATATATATATTGCAGCATGATAAGAGTTAAATCAGAAAAAGATAATCATGAACAATAATACTGCAAGTTTCATAGAAAAATCATGATGGTCCAGAATTTGAAATTAAGTTATCATGAATATAGATTGACCTATTTAACGGGTAAAAATAGAGCATATATGATGATGGTCCAGAATTTGAAATTAAGTTATCCTGAATATAGATTGACCTATTTAACTTTAAAAAATATAACATATCTCAATTGGACTGGTTAATTATCCTAGTCCATCACATATTTCAAAACACCCGGTATCCTTCCAACATGTCAGTTCAACAAAAGAAAATGGAACTAAACGAATAGAAAATTTTCAAGTCATAATAATATCAAATATATAGAATTGTCTACAAAACAAAGTTCAACTAAATCAAACCAATGCCGGAGTATTAGCACCAATATTGCACCAATATTGCTGACACAGCATTCAAAGAAACAAAGAACTCCACCAACAAATCCTGGCAAGAGAGAGAGAGAGCAAAAGAGGGGATTTTTCAAAAGCATATCAAAAGCCTACGCTGCAAAATGCAATCTGCTTTACAAAGTACCAGATTTGGGTAGAAAAAAGAACAAGTTGTGAAGTGATTGAGAGATACCCTTCAAATTTTGAAACTTACAGATGAAAAGAGCAATCTCAAATCCTAGTGAGTAGTTGTCATTGTCTGTGTCTCTGACGGTTGATCGAAGAATGAGGACAGAGGTGATTGAGAGGTTTGCAGACGAAGAGTGAGAGTTAGGGTTTGAGAAACAGATATCGCTTGACAATCACATGCAACTTTTTCTGTGCAAACATTAAAAAGATAATAAAAAAATAATATCAATTGAGAAAAAACAAAACAAAACCCAACCAAAACCCTAATTCCTGAATTCCATTGAATGCAGCAAAGATTAATTTTGCGGAGAGAAAAACTAAACCAGTATAGAGATATGGCAATTATGAAGCTGAAGATGCATGAATTTTCTCTCTCTAAATTGACAGAGTTTTATTACACTTCAAATATTTCGATCCCCCATTCCTCCTTTCTCCTTTCTATTTATAGACAATTTGCATTATTCTATAGCATTCTTAACTAACTTCCGCCGCTGGGCCTATCCTCAAGGTTAAATGGTTATGGGCCTGAATCCTCTTTGAAGGCCTTTTTTAGTCAATCCACTACACCCGGTCTGTTTTGTGGACGTCAAGTTTGGGCCCATGTCAATTATCAGGCCCAAACTTTGTTATGCGAGTTGGATCTGGCCCGAGCAGTCTTTGGCGTCCTCAACTACCCCCATAATCACTCCCTCATTAATTAGGGTGTGATTATTCAGAGACTCAATGATGACTTGACGGCTTATGATGATTTGACGGCTCAAGACGATTGCATGGGGCACCGAGCGGTCGGTCTCGGAATTAATGTCCCTTTTGAAATTCAAATCCCTTCAGCTTCCTGACATCTCAGCAATGGGACCACTTTCCCTTTAAATACCCTTTTCCACGATCGAAGCTTTTCTTGTTGCATCTCTTACATCCTGCTGTCAATCAATTCAGTCCAATTTCTCAAGGCGAACTGCATCTTTTTCGGTCACATCTCATCTTCTCCGGCGAATCTTGTGAAAGATTCTTCATCTTCAGTTTCCTTGCAATATCCTTTGAGGTTAGTCTTGTTGCCCCTCTCCTCCTAAAATCTCTGCATTCTTTGCCAAGGCTCATAATCTCTTTCACCATGCCCATCGATTTAGATGTTCTTCGCTTGAAACTCCATCTTCCCAATAATATTCATGTTAGGGAGTGCCCCATAAATGTAAATATCAGAACTGGTGAAGGCTTTCTTCCCGGTGAAACCTTATTTTGCCTCCATCATTTAAACATTATTAGATTCCCTCTGCATCTTTTCTTTTGTTATGTATTTAATAGGTTGAAAATTTCTCCCCTCTAAGTTAACCCCAACTTTTTTAGGGTTCTATCTGTTCTGTTGCTTCTGAATCGTGACAGAGGTTTGGATCTTGATTTAATTGATCTTCTCATTTGTTACAAAGTTAGCAAGATCAGGTTGGATGAGGCTTACTACCATTTCTATCTGTTCGAGAAAATGTCCATCTGTATGGACAAACTTAAATCTGAAAAAGGGTGGAAAAGAGGCATTATTGGGGTTCGTGGAGCTTAGTTTGCTCCAGTAGCCAATGAATATCCTATCCCGAATGCCTTTGGCGAATGTTCTGTCTCTTCTTATAAGAAGTTCAAGACTCATAAGGCTGACTGCCTTTGTGAAATTTACATTCCCCGTTTTTGTTCTTTTCTTTGCAATTCTCTGGGTATCACTTTGGATAATGAACTCAGTTACAGTATTTGCAGGGATAAGATCATATACCTGAAGGAACACGTGCTGAGCAACGTCCCCTCTTGTTTGGAGCTTCTCACATCTGAAAACCTTAGTGACATTTCAGTCCTCGGTTCCATAATGAGTCAACTCCAGATCCCTTCCTTCAGTAGGAAGAAGGCTCCTCCTAGGGCTGTGATGACTCCTGCAGCTTCTTCTTCTCTAGCCTCAGCATCGTCTTCTGCTACTACCTCCAACACTACTCCAAATGCAATGAATACTAACCCAATCGTCAATGTTTCTTCTCTCAATCTGAGCACCGCTTCTCGGACTCGTGGCCCCTCTGCCCCCGCTGCATCCACTTAAGACAAAGAGCGAGGAAAAAGGCCCCAACCTTACAGTAAGGGCAATCCTGATGACCTTCCCCTGACGAGGAGGGTTCGGACTTCTGGGCCGAACATGCCCATACCCCCCCAGATCAGACTGGTTGCTCTTTCTGGATCTGGCAAGACCACTGCTTCTGCCTCTGGTGAGGCTCCTTGGACTCCTCAATTTGTCCGAACGGATGGATCGGTTGTTAAACCGAGTGACACCATGTTCAAAGATGGCCTAACAGCCATGGCTTATTACAAGAACATGTGGTCCCCCAAAGATGTTGAGGTTGCCAAAGCTCTTTCTCAGAAAGAAGTGTTCAGCCGTTTTCCTTTGGCTGCTATGGAGGTAATTACCTACCTAGGTCTTAGTCACCTCAGAAGTATATTCATTTTATAATTTCTTTGAACATAGGTTCGGCTTAATTAGTATTCATGTATTGTTTTGCAGACTCTGTTTGGTATGATGGCCATGCAAAAGCATGTTGAGGCTGCCAACGTTAAGGCACGAAAATTCGCCAAAGACGTTGAAGTAGGTTACCAAGAGAACTAGATCATTAACACCAAAAATGCTGAATTCATGGTGCAACTGAACAAGGTTGAGAATCAAAGGGATAGTCTGAAGAAGGAAGCAGACTCCCTTCAGGATGAGAAGAATGCCCTTCAGCTTGAGAAGAATATTTGGTAGACCGAACGAGGGTCACTTAAGGCTGAAAGGGACAACCTTCAGCGCTTGCTTCATGACGAACAAGCAGAGCGCATGACCTTTGAGAAGAGGGCTCTAGATGAGCGCAATGCCTTGCTTGGCATTATTGGTAAGGTTAATAGAGGGGTGACAGCTCTGCATGGTCGCTTCTCTAGAATCGGAGCCCTCAGATATGCTGAAGGGTTCAGAGAGGGTTATAATGACCGTCTTCCTGCTGAGGGTTAGACCGGTTCCACTCTAGATGACATTGACAATGAACTCAAGATCGATCCACCAGGAATCTATATCGACCCAGACTCCTCTCATACCGAGCATATCTTTGATGAATGCCAGGATATTGCTTCTTCCGGGGTCATACCTGCCCCTCCTTCTCCACCTTTAGATGCTCCTTCTCTGTCTGTCGTGGTTCCATCTGCAACCACTGCCAAGGGCGGAACCCTGTAGAATCCTTTATCTATCGTGGTTCCATCCGCAACTGCTGCCAAGGGCGGAACCCTGCAGAATGAAACAGTGATCCAGCTATATTCCCTTCCTCATAGTGATGCTGCAGCCACTGATGGGGAAAGGAACGCTAGCAACGTTGAGGGGATTGTTAAAGCTAAGCGAGTTAATGAGGCTGAGCGGGTTAATGAGGAGATGAGCATTGCTTAATTGTACTTATATTTTCTTTATATCATCTTCTTTGTAACTCTCACAACTCCTTATATAAATGAAAATGATGATTTCTATTACTCATGATTTTAAACTTTGCATCGTTTGTCAATAACTGTTTGTGTGAATGAATTACCACTTTATTTTGAATCCTTTGTCTATTACTAATTGGCAAGTATTTGGCGTTCGGCTCATAGTGCCAGCTTGCCACTTAAAATGTCTAAGTGTTTGGCGCTCGGCTAGAATGCCATTTGCCAGTTGGCTTCTTACTTTTTGACAAGTATTTGGCGTTCGGCTCATAGTGCCAGCTGTCAGTTACCTTGTATAAGTGCATGACGCTCGGCTAGAATGCCATTTGCCAGTTGGCTTCTTACTTTTTGACAAGTATTTGGCATTCGGCTCGTAGTACCAGCTGCCACTTACCTTGCATAAGTGCCTGGCGCTCAGCTAGAATGCCACTTGCCACTTGTCTTCTTACTTTTTGGCAAGCGTTTGGCTTTCGGCTCGTAGTGCCAGCTGCCACTTACCTTGCATAAGTGCCTGGCGCTTGGCTAGAACGCCACTTGCCACTTGGCTTCTTGATTTTTGGCAAGTGTTTGGCATTCGGCTCGTAGTGCCAGCTGCCACTTACCTTGCATAAGTGCCTGCCGCTTGGCTAAAATGCTACTTGCCACTTGGTTTCTTGCTTTTTGGCAAGTGTTTGGCATTCGGCTCATAGTGCCAGCTGCCACTTACCTTGCATAAGTGCCTGGCGCTCGGCTAGAATGCCACTTGCCACTTGGCTTCTTATTTTTTGGCATGTGTTTGGCGTTCGGCTCGTAGTGCCAGTTGCCATTTACCTTGCATAAGTGCCTGGCGCTCGGCTAGAATGCCACTTGCCACTTGGCTTCTTGCTTTTTGGCAAGTGTTTGGCGTTCGGCTCGTAGTGCCAGCTGCTACTTACCTTGCATAAGTGCCTGGCGCTCGGCTAGAATGCCACTTGCCACTTGGTTTCTTGCTTTTTGGCAAGTGTTTGACGTTCGGCTCGTAGTGCTAGCTGCCACTTACCTTACATAAGTGCCTTTGTTCATGAAGGCAATACTTCTACCAATTTCCCGAGGTTTTGTCAATTTGCAATTATACACTCAAAAGTAAATATTGCTCAAACAAAAATTTATTTTTATTGATAATACCTTTTCAAAAATGTGGCGTTCCAAGGCTTGTTTACCAGCCTTCCAGCCATAGTTTCCAACACATATGCCCCCTTTCCTATAACTTCTGCAATTCTATACGGTCCTTCCCAAGGTGACATCATTTTCTTGATAATTCCAACTTTTCTTTTCAGAACTAAATCACCAAGTACAAAATCCCTATGCCTCACCTTCCTGTTATGGCTATTCATAAGTGTTTGCTGATATGACGCAAGCCTTACTGCCGCAACATTTCTCTTTTCCTCAAGAAAATGGAGGTTAAACCTCAGCATATGATCATTCTGCTCTTGATTCCATGCTAGGCTTTGAACAGTGGGAACTTGATGCTCCATCGGTATTACTGCCTCGGTACCATATGCTATAGCGAACGGGCTCTCCCCAGTTGGTCGCCTCGGTGTCGTTCTATATGCCCACAGAACGTTTGGGAGTTCATCCAACCACTTCCCTTTCTCATCTTCAAGCTTCTTCTTTATGCAAGCGAATATTGTTCTATTTGTGATCTCAGCCTGACCATTCGCCTGTGGATGGCTGACCGCTACTAACTTCTGATTGATTCCATATTCTTCTAGCAACTCTCTCACCTGCTTGCTATCGAGATTAGTCCCATTGTCTATGATGATCGACTTCGGTACACCAAGTCGACAAATGATATTACTCCAAATGAAACGTCTCACGTGAGTCTGAGTGACACTAGGGTACGGTTCTGCCTCTACCCATTTGGTGAAGTAATCTGTTGCAAGCAGAACGTACTTATTTTGTGACTTGGCAGTAGGTAACGGACCAACCACATCCATCCCCCAATATGCGAAAGGCCATGGTTTGGCCATTACGTGTAAGTCTTCTGGTGGTTGGTGGATCAGGGGTCCATATCGTTGGCATTTATCACATCTTCTCAAAAATTCCTCCACGTCCCGTGACATGTTCGGCCAAAAGTACCCTTGTGTTATTGCTTTGTGTGCTAGGGATCTCCCCCCTGAATGATTGCCACACACACCTTCATGAATGGTCCTCAATATTTGCTGAGCTTCTGCAGGGTTACACACTTTAGATAAGGTCCTAAATAAGACCTCATGTAGAACTGATCGTGTACCACGGCATATTTCGAAGCATTTGATCTGATCCTCCTTGCCTCATCCCTTCGTTCGGGCAAAACATCATCTCGGATAAATGCAATAATTGGATCTATCCAGCTTGGCTCATATGGTATGACATTCACCTGCCATGGGTCCGAGCTTGACAACTCCTCCGAGATAAATAGCTGGCACAGCATACCAACTGGAATCACCCTTGCTAATGTCTTACCCGAGCTCGATGCACTGTAGGCCAAATGGTCGGCATCTTCATTGTGCTCCCACGGCACTTGAATGAACTTGATCTGATTGAAATTGCTGGCCTCGTGCATAACGGCTGAATAGTATGCTTCCATAGTTTCATCTTTGGTACCATACTCCCCAGTTATTTGTCGAATGATCAACTGCAATTCACTGAAGGCGACTAAGTTTTTAACTTTTAGTTCCTTGGCCAACCTTAATCCAGCCAATAACGCTTTATACTCTGCTTCATTGTTGGTTGCCCTAAACTCAAGCTTAATTGCTTGGCTCAGCACAGTGCCCTCTGGTGTTTGCAGTTTGACCCCGATTCCTGCCCCCATTTGATTTGAGGAGCCATCAACGAAGAGCTTCCATGAGGATTCTTCCAAACATGCATGTGGCTCTTTCGTATCACACTCCAGTAAGAAATCAGCCACCGCTTGCCCTTTGATGGCCGTTCGGGGTTCATATGTGATATCAAAAGAGCTTAACTCTATCGCCCACTTCGTCATTCGTCCGGACAGATCGGGCTAATGCAGGGTCACCCTTATGGGAAATGTGGTCAGAACGACTATTGGATGGGATTCAAAGTAGTGCCCGAGCTTTCTTTTTGCATTCACCAAGGACAAGATCACTCGTTCAGCCTTTAAATATCTTCTCTCTGGCTCGGCCAATGTTTTGCTTACATAAAAGACTGGGAACTGCTTACCCTCAGCACACCGGATCAGAACACCGCTGGTTGCAATGCTAGAAACTCTGAGGTATAAGAAATTTTTTTCACCTGGCTCTGGGGTATTCAAAACTGGTGGGTTTCGCATATATTCTTTCAGATTGGTCAGTGCTTGCCTCTGTTCATTCCCCCATGACTGTTTTCTGTGACCTCTGATTGTATCAAAGAATGGTTTACACCGATCAGATAACTTGGAAATAAACCAACTCAATGCCGCTATGTGTCCGGTAAAAGCCTGAACTTCCTTAATAGTGCACGGTTCTGTATTTTTAAGCAGAGCTTCCGCTTGGGTTGGGCTGACCTCAATCCCTCTGTTGTTGACCACGTGGCCAAGGAACTGCCCTGATCCCACGCCGAACGAGCACTTTGTCGGATTTAATCTCATTCCATACCTTCTTAATACATTGAACACTTCTTGCAAATGCTTCAAATGATGTCCTTTCTGCTTGCTCTTTATCACCATATCGTCGATGTAAGCCTCCACTGTTTTGCCCATTTGATCCTTAAAAATTTTGCAAACCAACCTTTGGTACGTAGCTCCAGCATTTTTCAATCCGAACGGTATGACCTTGTAACAATAGATCCCTCGTTCGGTGATAAAAAAAAGTTTTTTGTTCATCGTTCGGATCAATAGGAATTTTATTATAGCCTGAATAAGTATCAAGAAAAGTTAACTGCTCATACCCTGTTGTAGCGTCCACCATTTGATCAATCTTCGGAAGTGGAAAGCTATCATTCGGGCAGGCTTTATTCAGATTGGTGAAGTCAATACAAACTCTCCATTTTCCATTCTTCTTCTGCACTACAACCACATTTGACAACCAGCTCGGATATTATACTTCTCGAATGAACCCAGCTTCGAACAATCGGTTTACCTCCTCAGCAATGATCTGGTTGCGTTCCGGGGCGAACCTCCTCTGCTTCTGCCTTACAAGGCTGACAGAAGGGTTGATCCCTGGCATGTCCGAATGGCTCCAAGCGAACACATCTGCATTTTGAGAAAGGAAATCAATTAACTGGCATTTTTTTTCATCTGAGAGTCGCGATCCTACTTTTGTGGCTCGGTCTGGCCTCAAATGATCAATTTGAACTTTGTCCAGAGGCTCTTCGGTCAGCATCGTGGGCTCCTCCTCCCTGCTCATGCCTAGGGGAGGTTCCTGTAATTGCTATTGTACAGTAACAGATCGGATGGGAGCCTTTCCCTTCCTTGCGGCTTTCAGAGTTACTGAGTAGCATTCCTTTGCTGCAACCTGATCCCCATGGATATCAATCACCTTGCTCCCATCTGGGCTTAGGCATTTCATCACTTGGTGTAGGGTTGAGGGGACTCCCTATACCCTATGGATCCATTCTCTCCCCATCAACAAATTATAGAAGGTATAGATCTCCATCACCACAAAACTTTCGACTAAGTCCCTCTCAGCTGCTCGGACCACCAATTCAACGGTGCCGATCGGTTCGACTCGTTTGCAATCAAAACCCAACAACGGATTTCCTGTAGACTTGAGCTCCTCTGGCTTAATTTCAAGCCAATCAAAAGTGACTCTAGGCATGATATTCGCACTGCTACTCGGATCGACGAGCACTCTTCGTACTAAGCATTCTGCCACTGTCAAACTGACAACCAAGGGATCTTCATACAGAATCTGAACTCGCATCAGGTCTGTCTTATCAAACCTTATTTGCATGGCCGAGCTTTATTGGTGCAAGGTGTTGACACTGCCTACTCGCCTCTTCATTTGCGCTTGGCGGAGGCGTGTTCGGAGTAAATCCTTGGATTCTGCGGTCTGCTCGGGTCGGCCATAGATTGCGTTGAAAATCCGTCCGGGCTGAGCATTATGGTGGTTTGGTTTTTGGTTTCTCTTGACCTGCTCAGCTGGACGATTTTGCTCTTGTGCCGGCCCTTGAACATACCCTGCAAACTCGCCTCTGGCGATCAGCATTTCCACTTGCCTCCTCAGATTCCTGCATTCGTTAGTTTGATGACCAAAATCACTATGAAATTGATCCCTCTGCTCGAAAGGTTATCTGATTGGTAAGGGAAGACGAAACTTATCTTTGTTTTCTTGGTAGAGCCTCGCCAATGTAACTTTGAGTGGGGAAATCAGTTCATCCTTTTGGGGCTTTTTCTCTGCCTTCCAGGAGATCTGATGCTGCGGCGGGGGTTGTTTCTGCCGAATCTTGGCTTTGGACTTCTCCTTTGTAGAGATGATAGACGTCTTCCTAGCGTTAGTTGCTTCTTCTTCTTCTAGACAAATGAAACCATCAGCTCTCTCATTCAGCTCGTCCATCGTCTTTGGTGTGTTTACTACTAGACTTGTATGGAACGGAGTCCCTTGGGTCATTACTAGCTTGAACGCTTGAACGGCTGTTGATGGATGACATTCCATAACCATACTTTTAACGAGGTTAAACCTGGTGAGAAAGGCCTGGAGCCGCTCATCCTCATGCTGCTTCATTGTAAACAAACTTGACACATCTTTTGCCGAACGTTTATTTCCATAATACTGACTTATGAACTTATCGCACAAATCTTGAAAGCTAGCAATTGAACCTTGAGCCAAGTTCTTGAACCAATTGAAGGCTGAGCCAGCTAAGCTTGTTGGAAAGCACTTGTACATCAATGGATCGTTGTTCGTGTTCAAAGACATTTTCAACTGAGTATGGTAAATGTGATCAATCGGATCGGTTGTTCCATAAAAAAGAATGAACACATGCATGGAGAACTTCCTCGGATTCGGAGCGTTCAGGATCTTATTAGTAAATAAAGAGGCAACCATTCTTGTAGACGAGCAAAGCGCCTTATTCTCCCTTGAAAATCGCGATAGAACCCTCGGATTCGCCGACCTCTCGTCGGAACTCTTATAACCATAGGTCGACATTGAAGGACGGTAGGGCGGATCGAACGACCTCTCCTCCACAAATCCTCTCTGCCATGGCGACGAGGTTCCGTGTTGATCGACCACCATTGCTTCATCATGTAGCAATCCTCCATGATTTGGATCAAACGCTGCGGCTCCTTCTTGCGTGACTCGTTCGCGGTGCGGATCGTGGTGGATAGATCCCTCCCTATCCTCCATCTATCTGAGGTTAGGAGGTAGATCAACTTGCACCATCTCGTCGCGGTGAGGATCCATGCGACGTTCCCCTTCCAGATCGTTATGATAAGCAGCATTGGACGGCGCAACTGCTTCAACTATCGGAGATGGCCTTGGAATTGCAGGAGCCTCACGACGCTCTATTCCAGCTCGCAGTTCGGCATTATCTTTTCGTAACGCATCAATTATATTCATCAACTCATTGAGCTTCAATTGCTGGCCATTATCCAATAGATTCGAGCTCTCTCCTTCGATCATCATACCGGATCCAAGCAAAGTCATTCACTGCAAATTATCTGTTAGATCTGAGCTTTGCTAATACAAATGCACTAGATCCAGACTCAAGCTCGGTCGAATTCTGACTGCAATTGACTGGATCTGGATTGCTACAACGACAAATTCAACAAACTCAGTAATCTCTACTGATCTCAACCACACAACTCATCAGAACAAATGTAAACCAGAGCTATGTAAAGTGACCTATCGAGCTTTCCAAATCAAACGAAATCGAGATTCGGTAACACAAACTGTGATTTCACTGATCACGACTCTGCCTTTAGTGATCTAGCTTCGTCCTAATGAACTATTCTAGATCGAATCAAGCTGAATCTAACACTCATCAATCTTCGTTGGTTCCCACAGACGGCGCCATTGAAGATACATGAATTTTCTCTCTCTAAATTGACAGAGTTTCATTACACTTCAAATATTTCGATCCCCCATTCCTACTTTCTCCTTTCTTTTTATAGACAATTTGCATTATTTTAGAGTATTCTTAACTAACTTCGGTCGCTGGGCGTATCCTCAAGGTTAAATGGTTATGGGCCTGAATCCTCTTTGAAAGCCTTTTTTAGTCAATCCACTACACCCGGTCTGCTTTGTGGATGTCAAGTTTGGGTCCATGTCAATTATTAGGCCCAAACTTTGTTATTCGAGTTGGATCTGGCCCGAGCTGTCTTTGGCATCCTCAGAAGCATTTTGAGATCGAAGGGGTGGTGACGACGAGTTGTGGTCCGCGGCGAGGAGACGTAGTCGAATGCACCGCCAATAACGGTGGTCGGTAGATGTGGTCGAGCATATGATGAGAAAGAGGGGTGATCGTGTGAGAATATGGCACGTTGTAGGGAAATCATAAAGCCAAGAACGTCTGAGAAATATACGTAGTGTAGAGTTACAAAAAAGAACAGTGACGAAATGAACTTAATGCAAAACTACTGAGGGCAATTTCAGTGAGAAACAATTAGTTGGTAGAGTCTCTCTAATTTGTGAGAATTAGAATTAGAATTAAAATTAAAATTAATTTTTTTTTTTTTTTAAAAGTACACAACGAAAAAGGCATATGTAAATAGAGCCTTCGAGTCTTTGGGATGGACATGGCCACTTTGGGAATCAATATATCAAATTAGTCTCAAACCAACTAAGTTCTATGCAACTGGTTCTATCGAGAAACAAAAAATTCAAAAGGTTCTCGGTTTAAATCGAACAATTCTGTTGTATTTTTTATTTTATTTTTATCTTCAGTAAATAAATGAAAATCAAATTTAGTAGTTGTGAATCGGTTGGCTCATGTTGAACCAGTCAATTCAGTAAACTATGATCATATGCATGTATGCACATATCACTTTATGTTATGTTTGGTTAGAATAAAGGATAAAGTGAAGATGGATGAGAGGAGAGATATATGATGCTTCTCATATTTGGTTGGAGGAAAGGCAAGAATGAGATGAAGTAAGGAGGAATGAAACATCATTCTTAACCTATTGTTTTTTTATCTGTTCAAATTTGAGCCGAGGAGACTAGGGAAAGAAATAATAAATGATCTAATAAAATGTAAAACCAATTTTAATCTTTTATTATTTACCAAATAGCTTGTTTTATCTTACATAAATTCTTTTAGACATAATGAGGGTATATTGGTAAAAATAATAAATAAATTTTTTCTTTATTTCCAAAAAAAAAAATTACCTCATTCAGGTGCCTTTTCTGAAAGTTTTCTCATCCATCTCTCGTCCTCCTTTTCGCCTATTTTTCTATCCTGTGAGTTGTACACAGCAGAACATATTTTAGGAAAGTATTAGATTTTGTAAAACAGATCTGTGTCTGTTACCAACTTTACTTATTTTAGCAGTTAAACAATTAATCGTATGCAATGAAATAAAGCAAAGTATAGAGTTAGAGATGACACCAGGATTTTAGCGAGGAAACCCCAGTTGATAAAATACGTCAACTGTTATGGGAAAAACCTCGTGGACTTGTGCAATCCAAAGTAAACCAATCCACTATGCTTGAAACAAAGTATACCGAACTTTGACTCTGGCTTACACCCTATCGTTCTACACTATACCAACAGCTGACGATCCTCTGGCTTTACGACTCCCCGTCCAACAACAACTTGACCTCAGGCTTACATTTGATATTTGTAGAAGAGTAGCAAGTAGATCAGACAGCACTCCACGAATGCTCCAACCCTTTCAAAGTGTGATTGCATTTACTTCTGTTCTTTAACCGTCTGAATGATGTAGAAGAAGATCTACTTCGTTTGATCGATGTTAATATAACTGTATGATCACGATCTGGATTTGAACACCACAACTCTAAACTCACTATGTGTTTATGTGTATGTGTTCTAGAAAGATGACAGAAAAATCAACTCTGATTTTCTGCAAAAATAATCTTCTTAAGGTTTTTAAGAATAATAAATTTGTAGATCAAAAGCCATAAATAATTCGATGTATATGACATGGTTTATATAGAGTTTAGAATGACCTAATCCCTCTGGAAATAAGGTAAAATTCGTGCATAGGATTTAATACTATTTTAGACCAATTGGGAAACAATTCAGGATAAGGAAACTGAAGTTGTATAGTGAACAGGACTTCTTGAACATGTTCGATAAATCTTGAACCAATTCAAGATGAATATGTTCGATAAATCTTGAACTAGTTCAAGATGGACAGAACGTAAAATCTCCACTCTGCTGAAGTTGAACCTGTTCGATTATTCTTGAACCAGTTCAAGATGAACTCGTTCGATTATCCTTGAATCATTTTAAGATGGACAGAGTGTGAAAACTTGTTCCGAACAAAATGGAAAGTATAGAATGTGTCCAACCTTGTTTAGAATCTTTCCTATGTGGTGTTCTTACCTTTTTCTTCAAAAATCTTCAAGTATGGTAAGTTTAAACTCCTTCCCAGTTCTATAGTCCCTGTCGAACTTGATAACTTGTAGAATAAGTAATTTGAATTACAACTCAACTTGGACTTGTTATGTCTATGATAATTGCCAAAAATAAATTAATATCTCACAATCTCCCCCTTTGGAAATTTCGTGACAAAACTCTAAAAATAATTTTTGCAATCTACCCAAAGCAGAAAAGTAAATTACATTATTTGCTTAAAGACAAAAATATGGAGTAGGAACACTGTTCTTCTTGGATTCAAGGATTGACCTATTTCCTGCACACTATCAAGCAACAACTATCAGTGAATTTTAATAAATAAAAATTTATGAGAACTCCCCCTTAAGTAAATATCCAAAATTTTATCTCCCCCTTAACATCA